CAAACACCAACACATACTTGCAAGTGTATACACACATAAAGTAGTACACAAACACCTAACCCACACACACAAACACACACATGAACCAGTACAAAAATACACAAACATATATGTACACACACACGTATAACCATTTAAACCAGTACATACACACACAACATAAACCAGTATAAAAAAAACACACTGACACACATATACATATTACACACACACAGTCACACACACACACACACACACACACACATACACACACACACACACACACAAACACACACATACACACACACAAACACAAATCCACCCAAACCAGTACAAAAATACACACTGGCGCTCATATACACATCACACACAAACACACACACAAACACATACTCATACACACATAAACCAGTACACACACACACAAACGGTACAAAAACTCGAACGTAATTATGTGTTGCTGGATGTGCGCGTACATATGTGCCAATATACACACACATGTAAGCACACATACACCAATATATAAATACACACACAAATATCTACGTACACACAAACACACATAAAGCATTAGACAAAACACACACACATATACCAGCGCATACGAATGCACACATAATCATAAAACAAGTACACACACGCACACACACTTACGCACACACACATAACACACACACACACACACGCACAGTGACTGCCAGGCTGTATTTGAACATGATGTTAAGAGGCATGTTTTTGACCCACAGCTACAGGAGACACTGTTTTTAGAAACGTTCCCCCTGAACACACACTTTAGGGCTGAAACACAACGCTGATCAGAACCACGAAGACTCAATCACAGCTGTGTGTGTGTGTGTGTGTTTTTATGCACCTGTGTGTGTGGTTTACATGGTTACGTGGTAGTTGTACTTTATTAAGCTGGATTGTGAGGACATGTCTTGTGTCCTCATAATTCCAAACACTTATAATAATACCTAACAGGATTGTGTCATATTTAGATTGCCAGTTGCCTGTAAGGGTTGGGTTTAGGGGTAGGGCTGTAAAATCAGCTGTCGCTGCTGTGTAGAATACAGTATGCCAATGGAGAGTCCTCATAAACCAACCAATAACACCCCCATTTTTCAGTCATTGTACATCAACCAATGCCCCCAACCCCCCCGCTCTTCATTTCGCAATTGCACCCCCCCCCAGCTTTTCTTGCTACCATCAACCAGCCCCCCCCGCTCTTCAATTCACAACCGTCAACCCCGCCCCCAAAACCAACATCCCACTTTTTTCTCAGCACATGCACATTGGAAAGTCTTTGCATGGTATTGATCATCACCCCCCCCTGCCCCACTGGTAAAATTGACCATAGTGTGTCATAGTGTGTGTGTTTGTGTTTGTGAATGAGTGTGTATGGATGTTTCCCAGTGATGGGTTGCGGCTGGTAGAACATCCGCTGTGTAAAACATATGCTGGATAAGTTGGCGGTTCATTCCGCTGTGGCGACCCCAGATTAATAAAGGTACTAAGTCGAAAAGAAAATGAATAAATAAATAAATAAATGAATGAATGGGTGTTTCCCAGTGATGGGTTGCAGCTGGAAGGGCATCCGCTTTGTAAAACATTTGCTGGAATAGTTGGTGGTTCATTCCACTGTGGCGACCCCAGTTTAATAAGGGTACTAAGTCGAAAAGAAAATGAATGAATGTATGAATGAATGGGTGTTTCCCAGTGATGGGTTGCAGCTGGAAGGGCATCCGCTGTGTAAAACATTTGCTGGAATAGTTGTCGGTTCATTCCGCTGTGGCGACCCCAGATTAATAAAGGTACTAAGTCGAAAGGAAAATGAATGAATGAATAGGTGTTTCCCTGTGATGGGTTGCAGCTGG